ATAAAAAAAAAAAAAAAAAAAAAGAAGAAGAAGAAGTGCAAACAAGTCCCAAATAAATTATTAAAAATAAAAATTTATTTTTTATAAAAAAAAGTGCAAACAAGTCCAAAATTAATTATTAAAAAATTAGAAATTTAAAAAAAAAATAACCTGCTTTAATTTTCATTTTTTATTTAAATAGAAGAGTGTATTCGTCATTTCGCAGCTTTTATTGAAAAATTGGATGGAAATTGATAGAAAGGATGATTTGCACAATTAAAAGGTATAATTAAGGGTGAAAATGTTAAAAAAAATGAAGATATAGGTGTTGTTTCAGGTTTAGGGTATAAATAAATAGCACAGACAATCATTCAACATGTACAACATATTAAGGATGTTTCAGACATTGCTTTTACTAATTTCAAAGTGAAATCGAAAACATGTAACTCAAAACGGTATGTAGTCATTTTAAACGTATGTGTATCATTTTTACTAATTTCATGTTCATTTTGCTTCATTCTCGCTCATATCCACATGAAAGTGTAAGAATGAAATTTTTAACTAGATTTAGACGTCACAGTCCACACAAAGTTCAAACTATAGTAAGTCACATTATATATTCGATTGAAAATTAGACTAAGTTTGACTACAAAGGAAAATGTAACAAGTATGATATATAAAACATAGCATGTGCAATCATTTGACTTGTACATTTTATCTATGATGTTCGAAGCATTTATTGCCATCTTTGCTTTCAATTATCAGCTCCACAAGAATTAGAATCTAAAAGAATCATAGCTTGTTGGAAAAAAGTTTTTTTTTAGTCAAAACCAAAAACCTCTCAAACAATAAGTGGAACATAATCAGAAGACAATTGTGGTATTTCATTATTTGGGAAAAAATAATAATTTTCTTTTTACAATTTGCCACAATTTCATCACCTAATTTCTTTATTGGAACACGTCTATGTTTCTTGAAAAAGCATAATCATTTGCAGCCTCAAATAGGAGTAAATCATATTCATACAATAAAAGCAGACGTGAATTAAATTTGAAATCACAAACAAAGCTATTTACCTCTAGGTGACAATTTCAAAATTACATAAACAACAGGGTGCCATTTTCAAAACTAGATAAAGGCGAGATGCCATTGAGAAGTCAATTTTAGATATCAAGAAGAAATATAATAAAATATATAAATCATGCGTGCTCGATTTTAGGTGCAATAAACACCCCTTGTTTTGACATTAGTATTTGCAACCAGGAAGCAGAAACCAAGAACAAAGGCATCTGGAAGTTGATGATACTCTAACTAGAATTAAACCAAAATGTAGAATTAGCTGATATCGACACTCCATTAAAAAATAAATACAAGTTCTTGTTTAATCTTAACAATCCTAGTGCACAATGCATAATCCTCATCTAATGGACTAGTCATTCCCAAGATGTTGTAAAGTCAACTCACAACATGAGTAAAGTAGCATTAGAGACCACACACTAGTGGATTCAAGTTCTACAGCAATTGTATCTTCATTATTCTGCAAAGAAACAATATGTTTTAATAATCACAACAAGCACAAAACTTGAATAAATCGATGAGAATTGAACATTCGAAATACCTCTATTAACATATCCTTTCTAGTGATCATACCAATAACACGAAATGCACGTGGAAGAACAAGAATATCTTCATACTAGTTGACAGAACAAATTATATACCTGGATCATCAGAAAAGCGTGCAATGTTCTCAGAAATAATTTGAACCTCATTACATGTCTAGCAAATTAAAATACAAAGCGGAGACATTCAGAGTAACTGATGATAATTATTACCTTCTTATTGACATGTCTTTAGGGACAAAATATGGAGGGGGGGCGTTCAAAAATGGAGCAAGATTGATTTCCAGATCATCATCTGAAGTTAGGTGAAGATCATGTATAGATATTCCTTTTACTACAACCAATATTAAATTCTGTGAGATTTCGCCTGCAATTTGGAGGACCCATTTACTACTAGTCACCCTTTCTTTCAGTAAATAAATTAATAGAGTGGAAGAAATTAACCCTCTACTTACCCGATTGGCAGAGTTCTACTTCTTGAATCACAGGAAAGTGGATTATGTTGAAAATCGACATTTGACTATAAAAGCACTAAAAAATAGCTGCAGCAGAGGAACAAGTACCATACGTAAACCAATTTTGATCGAATTACAAATCTCTTTATATCAATATCATTTGATTCCTTTTGCCTTATCGAAATGATGAAAAGATTAGAAACTTGACAACGTGTGATATCTGACCTTCGCAGTATGAGACCAATAATAATGTTTATCGTCTTCGTGTGATTAATGACCTAAATGGAAAGGAAGAAGAAGTATTAGTTAAAGCTCCAATATTCAACCAATAAACTAGAGCAATAGAAACTCTAATTCACTGGAAATCCATTTTGATTATTGCTTCTCAAAATATAAAGAACATTGGCAACCTTGACAGTAGTGGAGAAAAAATGGAGTGGAATAAGAGACCCAAGAACCCATGTGAAGATCAGAGGAGGAGAAAGAAAAAAGGCGTGGGTTTTTAATTGGGGAAGAACTAGCAAATTTCCTTTGTCTCCTATTTTGCTTGGAGGGTATTTTGGGTAGTTAATAAATTTTACTTTAAAAAGGCCATTTTAACAAACTAACTTTGTAAAGAGGCCATCTCACCTAATTCCCAATGCAATTTTTCAAAAACTAAATCACTGTTTGAGCTCCATTTTAGAACTCATTTTCAACCTTACATTATTTTAAATAAAATAATTTTGTACATAAATCAAAGATTTTTTTATTTTTTTTTGTCTACATTTTAAATATTTTATCCAAAAAATCTTTTTTTTTTTTTTACAAAATCTATTCTAAAAAAATAAACTCAACAAGGCTAAAAGTCCTACAAAAGAGTAACACTCATCATCATTTGTTCCCTATTTAGTGCTAGCTGCACAAGTTTCCCCATTTTTATGTTTTGGTCAAATGACACATTTGATACACCAATATTGAGGCTTGGGCTGTTCTTTAATGCATCAAATTTACTTTAAAAGCTTAAAATTGAAGTCTCTTATGATGTAGATCTAGTTTTGCATTATTGTAATTGATTTATAAAAGAAAGTGATGAATGAAGAATAGTTATTTAATTCAACAAAGAGACATTGTTCTTCATCGTAGGTCAGTGTTAGATCTACTCGCTCTTTTAATGATATTTGTATGCCACTGTCAAAATGGGACGAGTTGCTTTCAATCAGAAATTAAGAATAAAGATAGAAATCTGCAAGAATGAAATACAAATTGATCTTTTATCAGTCGAATCCATTCTTGGGGATCAACGGTGATAGCATTAAGATAAGAAAAAGTTGCAACTTAGTCAATAAGTTAGAGACAAGAGCTGCAATTTTTACTTCTAAATAATAATTAAATGTTTTGTAGGTAAAAATACAACTTACAAATATTATCCTATCCTTTTTCTATATTTAGGTAAAGTACACGACATGTTCGGTAAAGTAGTTTATACAATACTGAATAGAATTGAGGGAGAAAAAAGAGTTTAGATTTTTTATTTGATACATGTCAAAGTCATTTTAATTGATAAACACCGACATGCCCTTAAAATATATTTGTTCCTTAATTATAATTGAAAAATAAGTAGTTCAACTTATTTTATCCATCTAGAATTCCTCCTGTTTGATCACCAACTCTCACCTATCAATTCAAACTTGCTAAAAATAATAATAATAATAAATAAATAAATGAACACCATATATATACATGAACACTTGTAGCGTAGTCCATCAATAGTTAAGTCATAGAGCAAATATTTTGGTAGTAATAAAGCTGAAGAAAATGAAATTCGTGACAGTGTGTGGTATTTCAATGGCGATGCTAATATTTTCCTGTTTAGTCAGCCAAAATCAGGGCCAAGTTCAACAGCAAGAGTGCCTGAACCAGCTTCAGCCTTGCTTGAATTTCCTAAACAGCAATCAGAATCCGCCCGATAGTTGCTGCAATCCGCTGAGAAATGTGATCAAATCGATGCCGGAATGCTTGTGCAGTTTGATTACCATTAAGGGCGCCAACCAAGCCGAACGTGCTGGGATCAATGTTACGGAGGCTCAAACGCTGCCTGGCAGATGCGGTAAACGTATCAACCCCCTCGGCTGCATTACCGGTAAGCCCTTGACCAATACTTGATGTTTGATGCACGGAATTGAATAGCTGACAAATTTCGTTACACGTCTCTCTTTTTTGACTGACTCAATTCTCGGGTACCCGTAAGCCCTTGACCATTTCTTGATGTTTGATACATTGAATTGAATAACTGACAAATTTTGTTACATGTCTCTCGTTCTTCGACTGACGCGATTCTTGGTTTCAGGTACACCTGATACACAATCAAGAAATTCGGTTCCAAACTCCAGCAGCTCGTCATTCGGATTATCAGGATTGATCAAAGTAGTTGCTGCATCAATAGGAATTCTCGTTTTAAGTCCCTTGTAGCATATTTGACACGTGTTTATTTTGTGGGAGATGTCAATAAAATATATATTTGTCGCAATAAAAATTTGTATTTGGACTATATATGTACTTGAATACTTGGGTTTTAAGCATTTTACGTTTGGTTTCTTTTACCTTCGATAGCATGCATTCAACTAGACAACCAATACAAATAATGACACGATAGTGAATATTTGAATCTAGGCTCCGTTTGATAGTATTTAAATTAAAACTCTTTTTTCTATCCATTCATTTTCAACCACGCATACACATATTAAAACATTCTGCAAGTAAATTCAAAACATTTTCTTATTTTTTAACTATACATTCTCAAAAAATTCACAATTCAAGACGTTGCTTTTGATAAATAATGGCCATGGAATATGAGCTAAATTTTAATTTAAGTCAAAATCTACAATTAATTTTAATCATATATTTCGTGAAATTCACAAATTTTCAACCATTTATTTCATCAACTTTTATCAAAATCTATTAGAATTATGATTTTTATCCTATTAAACAGGGTCTAAGAAAAAGTTAAAATTACATTGATAATCCTATGTAACGTAATTCTACACTACTATGTACCTGTTTTAATCTTTCGACTGTTTGGCTAATATATAGTACAATATTTTTCAGTTAGTGGGCCATGATAGAGGTAGTTGTTGGTAGGTGGTGGCTGGTCACTGGTGCATTTGATATGATGAGTAAGATTTGCGAAGCATTGAAGGTAGAACTTGCTACAAGTAGAAAGAGAATTGTCATACTACATTATAGGAAGACAAGTGACGCATATTCATTGGACCTTCCGACCTTGTACAAAAAACAGTTTTATCCTAGCTAAAACACAAACACCACTCGTCTCTCCGACAATCTCCCATATCCAAAGGGATTAACTCTGTGATGTACATTTGAAAAATGCAATAACTAAAGAAAGAAAAATACGTTAAATACTGAGTACTTGCGTCTCTAGTTATGTGAGTCAAAGTAAACTTTTCCAAATGCAAAAATAACTACACATGAAATCTTGGAAGGAGAATTATGCATAACAGAAGTATGACCGTCTTATTAGAGAAGTTTAAATCACTAAATTACAATACATCATGCAATAGTTCTATTTTGACGAGGCAGAAACGAGACAACCACTTCTAGCAGCCTAAACTAAAAGCAATACTACGACAACAGGAGAAGACGATATACAACATCAGAAATCTATGGGGGCAAGTCTATGTAGGAAGAGAAAATCCCCGGAGAAATCTGGAATCTACACCTGATTCCCGAACCAGTGCCACTCTTCCTGTCCTTGCCACCTTGATAAAAAGTAAAATGGTCAAGTATCAGAAATATCACGAATAAATTGTTCTTGGGGAGAATTGCTAAAAGGTGGCGTTTTTGCTGATTTCTTTCAGTGCTCAGAATACACATATTCCTTGAGGTTAAATACAATCTATTGTTCTACGAGGAGACATTCGTTAAAATTAAAGGCACTTGTTGACTGGTTCTCGAAAGATTCTTAAAAGATACAATCTATACATGGATGCTCAGTGCGTGCATCACCATGCCAAGGTACTATTAGACACATCGAATGGTGGAAGAGACTAGCGAGGCAATTTGGATACGTACCTCACAAATTCCGTAAGTCTCTAATAATTTCTGAAGTGCAATCATCTTATCAAAGTCTCCAGTGAGCTGGAAGTATAAAGCTGAGTGTTAGCAACACTGGATGAAGAAGCAATGCAAAGATAACCAAAAAACTAATGGTGATGACGGGAAGTTCAGACAGTTTTTTCAATGCAGAATTGAAAAGGCTATTCTTAAAACTATATCTTGCACACACTTCTCTAATCACGTTCCAAACACGTTATTTAACACTACCAAGACCTTGTAACTCTGTAGTTCATGTATCATCTTAGCATAGTTTGGTGAGTCAAGTGAGTAAGTGCATGATTGCCGAAGCTTATAAAAAGTATGTTTTGCCAAACATGTACCAAGTGGATATCAATCATAACACTCATGGAGAGCGTAAAGTTCACTAAATTTTTGCAAGTTCAATCACTTTTCACTGTCTCCCAATTCATGTGCATAAGACAACTTTCCATGCAAATATAGTATTCTGGAGTTCATATTTTTCTCTTTAGACTGGCACGGTGTAGCCGTTATAGAAGTAAATTTTTAGGAAAGGAAGCATCCGCATAAATTAAATGCTTCTCCAATTATGCATTGGACTTGAATTCCAAGAGCTCTCGTGAGTTGTGATGAAGATACTAAGGGATATTATGTGGAAGACTTACCACGATTAGATACCAATTTTATAAATTGGGATAACATTCCTGATTTTGCAGGGGCGTGCGTGAAACTGTAGAACCCTGAAATTTATCAAGTTTTTTTGTATACAATTATTTGCCAATGTCATGTCTAGTCTAGTCATTATGCAAGTCAATTTGTTATGCTCAATAGTTAATTAAATCTACATGGATATCCTTAATAATCGAGGGACCAAAGTAAAAGTAAATATTGGATTTTATACTTTTAGTTAATTATTGAAGGAGTTAGAATTATCCTATCAATATTAGGCTCGTTTTGAAGCTTGTATTAAATGGCGAATTATGAACTCAAGAATAAGTTAATTTGATCAAGTTAGACCCGAGATTTAGCCATCTACAGAAATTTATGAAAAAGTTATAATAAGGAATAAACTTGGCAATTAATTAAGTAAATTCTCGCCTCATTTTGGATTTGTCTATTGATTTGTGATAAATATTAGTTACTTTTTCATCCTAATTATTTTAATTAGAAAAGAAATTAAATTTAAATTCTGGATTTCTATTGTTGCAAATTTTCTAACTAACTTTATTAGTTAGATGAGTCAAGGATTCTAATTAATTAAAACTTTTTAGGATGCATAGTATTGGGCCAGGATGTATATTAATGAAAATAGATTAGTTAGGTCTAATTAAGAAAACTAGAATAATATTGGTTTTCAATTTAGATCAAATTACTACTATAGTAATATTGTGGGCTTATTCGGTAATGATTATGAGAATTGATTTTTTGACTGTTAAAGAGCAAAAGTGGATCCCACCCGTTGAGTGAGGAAGTCAAAAGTGGTGGTTGGAATAGTGAAAAAATTGATTTTTTGGAGTGAAAAATTGCTACCAAACAGAGGCTGTATCTAATCATGTCTATCAAGCTAGAGAAGAAATTTATTTGGATAAAGACCAAATCAAGTTATAGCACAACAGACAGTTGTGATTAAATGAATTTCTTCCCTGTAGATTGATCAGTTACGGACATTTTGAATTCAAAATAGGATTAGCTTTTTGGTAATTAGATAATAAGCAAATATTTAAGTCTAATTACACACAAACACATTCACATAAAAGGATAACGTAGAGTCTCACGTCTTATCTATTTCCAAATTTTCTGGGAAACCACCGTGTACACGTGTGTATGTATATTGGATGAAAAGAAAGGAAAAAATCACAAAAGCTTTAGAGTGCGTTTAATTGTAAGCATGGAATTTGCATGGAAAGAAAATAAATTCGAGGTAATTAAATTGTTTAGAATTTATTTGCATGGAAATTGCTTTCATTAGTGAGTAAATGAGAGAGAGAAAGAAAGTGTGAATTCTCTAGAAAATAAAATCTTACTCTTCTTAAAGAAATATTTTCCTCGATTTTGAGGAAAATATGGTCACGTAACCAAAAGCCGGAAAATATTTTTCATTAAAAAAATGGCAGGATTCCAGAGTTCGATGTACATGGATGACGACATGTAGGCTGCTATCTGTTGGGTTATATTTTGGAATCCTATATAGTGTACTTTTAAAATGGCCTGTAGACATGTTTATAAGCTCAGAATATATATGTTGGATTATGGCGATATGATTTTGGGTTCGATATGTTATATGATCGTGTCACAGGTGATTAGAAGTTAACAAACTGGAAAAAAAATATATGTAAAATTCTATATCTAGGTTGTGACGCCCAAAAATTAACATTGATATCTACACACAACCTAGATATGTAGTTCCATGCTCATCTACAATGCAAGAACTACATAAATCAATGCTTAGTAAGCAAAATCATGCATATTATGAACATAAGTAATAACGACATATGACATCATGCCATTTACTTTAAATATCACGATAAAAAAAGTATCATATTTCAATATTCGTCAAAATCGACTAGAAATCATTTATTTCATTGGGCCCTTGACCCACTTACTATGCACCGGATAAAGCTCTGCATAATATCAATAATCAAATGGCTAATATGAAATCGACACCGACGAGTGGACCATCCTCTCGTGACCACTAGAGGCCCATTCTCTGACTACCCCTATGATCACCCAAAAAGTCTCCCACCCGAAAGCGCCAATAATCATAATATTACAAGGGCACAATATATTATGAATACTCTTCGATAGTTCTTCGTTAGCAAAATAAATGTTCACATACATGCAAAAACACTATTATTTTGCAAAAGAAAAAAATTACATACATTTTGAAAGAATTTGGGCAGTAGAAGGAGGCACATGGACCTGAATTATTTTTCAATCATTATATTTTAAGATTCAAGTGAGGTGCTCAATGCTATTAATGGTTTATCCACATCTTTTCAGTTATGTTATTATATATGAAATTTATTACATTTAGCTCGGGCTCCTTCGAAAGAATGATAAGACATACCTTCAAGCATCAGTTTAGCATCCACGGTTATTTAGCAGGGCTTGCTTGAATCATCATTTTCTATGGTGTGATAATTCTCAGTTTAGTTGGTAAGAGGGTTTATGTATAATTTATTGTTTAGTTTGAATGTAGAATAACGAGCATCTCATTTAATATAAACATATTATACTTATCCCTCTTATTTACAATTTCAAGTGAAAATTATCATATTGAATGGCGACAGATAATCGAATGTGCCATTGGACCAATGGATCCCGATCATGTAGTACTTTAACTGTTAGAAATATTAGGACTTCTTAGGGCGATGTATTCAATTGGGACTTTTGAAGACGTTGAATTTTCATGAATTTTTCATATATTTATAAAGAATTAGTGGAAGTCATTCGTAGATTTCTATAGACTTTCATTTTAAAACTTTTATAAACTTTTGTAGAATTCAAAAGACTTTTAAAAACTTCCATTTGAAGTATAATTCACGTGGATCTAGTACAATAATGTGAAATTCTCACATAGAGGTGGTAGTTTCCACAATTTTCCTTCCCCCTTCCCTTCCCCTCATATAATAAAAAATTATTTTAAAAAGAATAAAAATTTAAAACCTTAATTATACATATAAATGATAAAAAAATAAAATTTAATATTCAATATTATTAATATAATAAATTTTTAAAAATAAATAAAAATTAATATATTTAAACTTAATTATAAATTTTCACATAAAATTTTATAATTTAATAAAAAATAGATATTTTTCACCAAAAAAAATGAATGAAAAGCGGGAAAAAAGTTACAAGAATCCAATTTAAGTTTTTTTCATAAAAAATAGAAATAAAGAATAAGAGAGAAAGATAAATGGAAATAAATATAATTAATAAAATAAATAAATTTTAATACATCTAATATTCGTAGAAGGAAGAATGAAAGAAAGATTGATTTTTTTTATTTTTTTTTTGCGTAAAAGTCTCGCAAAATCTCGTAATTAATGAGAGACAAATTTTGAAATTTTATATGAGCACTTTCTACTTAAAATTAAATACTTCAAAGACTTTTATAAAAATCTCTATAAGTTATTAAAATTTGAATAACCAAAGACTTATAAAGACTTTTATAAAAGTTTTAATTAAATACACCATGACTTCTAGAGACCTTTTAAAAATTTATAAAAGTCACAATTGAATACATCAACACTTTTAAAAAGTCTCAAAAATGACATTAAGGAGGGTGTATTCAATTGAAACTTTTAATGACTTTTTGATATTTAAAAAGTTCGGGGGTATTCAATTAAGACTTTTTGAAACTTTCGAAAAGTCACGATGTATTCAATTGAGACTTTTAAAGAATTTTAAAAAATCTCTAAAAATTACGTTGTATTCAATTAAAACTTTTTAAAAGTTTCTTTAAATCTTAAGGTATTCAAATTTTAATGACTTCTAGAGACTTTTATAAAAGTCTCTAAAGTACTGACTTTTAAGCAGAAGGTACTCATTTAAAATTTTAAAATTTGTATCTCATTAATCTCGAAATTTTGGAAGACTTTCACAAAAAAAAATAAAAAATCAAATTTTATTTCCTTTAACCTTCTATGGACATGTAGGATTAAAATTTATTTTTTTAATTGATTATATTTTATTTATCTTTCTTTCTCTCTCTTATTATTTATCTCTATTTTGAATTTTTTATGAAAAATTAAATTAGATTCTTGTAACTTTTTTTTTAATTCTTTTTTTTTTTTGAAAAATATCTATTTTTTAATTAAATTATAAAAGTTTATATGAAAAATTATAATTAAATTTAAATATATTGATTTTTATTTATTTTTAAAAGTTACTATACTAATAATATTGAATCATATATAATAATTATTATTATTTATTTAATTAAGGTCTTAAATTTTTTTTTTTTTTTTTTTTTTTCAAATTTTGTTTATTATATGGGAAGAAAAATGGGAATTGTGGAAACTAACACCCTATATGTGAGGATTCTATTTCAAATGAAA